GGGTAATGCTGAAGAGAACAGATACATGGTGTTTACATCACCCGTGCGTCCTTCCACCCTACAGATCATGAAAAGAATTACCTCTCGTTTGTGCCCCCAAGTGCTAGGAGGGTATTCTCATCTGAAACTCGTGAGTAGGCCTCAGCCCTGTGTGCCAGGCTACCTGTTACCTGGGGCAGCCGGTTCCTGTCCAGAGAGATCAGGACTGCATCTCACTGAGTTATACTGGATCAGGGGCCGTGAACTGAGGCAAACGTGGAGTACGAGCAGACAAGACACCGAAAGATGTTTAGGTATCGGAAGCAGAAATGTCTGAGAGGCCTCTTAACTCTCGCTCGCCTCAGCTCAGAGAGTGCCTTTCAGTTGTCTGGATGGCTTCAGGGCAGTGGATCGCAACTGCGGCTCCTACCTGAGGTTTAATGTTTTGACAGGGACAGTAGCGTTTTATGTAGTTCTTGTGTTTTTCATCAGAGGAAGGATTCCCCCATTCTTCTAACTCCTCCAGTGTCAGAGGAAGTGTGGTGTCCATCATGGTGTTGAGGACATCCAAGAAAGGTGCCTAGTCAAAGAAAAAGAAGCCAGAATCGTATATCGTCCCCAAGGTTGCTAAAATGAACGTCACAAAGCTACCGCATAATAAACACATACCCCGGTGTGCTAAAGACAGCTCAGTCTGAACTATAGCTGCTAACTCACAGCTGCCTGGAGAGTACTCCAACTCCGTAACAGACATTTATAGAACCACAAAGAAATTACCTTCCATTTCACAGGTTTTGTTTTCAGCCTGGTGCCTGTTCTATTTTTAATTATCCAAAAGTAACACATGCAGCTCTGCTTTCATTAGCATGGCTACTATAGTGGAAACAACCCCACAACAGCCAGGGCTTGTCAAGATGGCGAGGATGCAGAGAAGAAGCTCTACCACTTCGGGCTCTGTGGGCTAGAGTGTACATGGCTGGGTCCCTGTGGCAAAAAGCATGGTGGTTCCTCGAAAGAACAAAAGTGACCGTTTGACCTGGCAACCCCTTCCTAGCACGTCCCCGGAGAGCTGGAGACAGGGTCTTCCTGTGGAACTCGACAGTGGGTAAGCAAACCGGGGTGCAACCGTGCCGACTAGTCACGGAACCTCTCGCAATGCAATCTCAGGTCAGCTCAGCGGGACAAGCACCGTCAAAGAGTAAGCCTGACAGGACGCCACTTACAAGAGGTGACTGTGCGGACGGACGGACGGACGGACGGAGGGCAGAGGGTGGTGTCCCGGGGCTGGGAGGGAGGGAGGCAGAGCTGTTCAATGGTATGTGTATCAGTTTTGAAAGATAAAAACTGACATCTGGAGACTGACCGCATAATACAGTAAATGTCTTAACATTATTGAACTATACACTAAAAATAGTTATGACAGTAGATTTTGTTACTTTACAACCATGACTAGAACTTTTTTTTTTTTGAGCTGAGGATCGAACCCAGGGCCTTGCGCTTGCTCTACCACTGAGCTAAATCCCCAACCCAACTAGAATGTTTTAACAGTGAGAAAAGCACCAACAACCTACAAACTCTGCTCCACCTGTTGGAATTTTACAAGGAAGTTCCTAAATAGTACTTACATAGAAGATCTGGAAAATATCCAAGATAAAAGAAGATGAAAAACATCTACTGGCCTTAATTATTATTGGAACATTTATAAGGGATAGAGAGATGGCTCAGCAGTTAAGAGCACTGGCTGGTCTTCTAGAGGACCTGGGTTCAATTCCTAGGACCCACATGGTGGCTTACAACTGTCCATAACTCAGTTTCTGGGGATTCAAAACCCTTTCTGGCCTCTGAGGTTTCCAGGAATGTACGTGATGCACAGACATACTTGCAGGCAAAACACCCATACACATAAAATAGAAATAAATAAAAAACATTTAATTACAGGGAAGTTGCTCTTTTCATCTAAAGCTCTATTTTCCAGAGCAGCTGCTTACCAGTTTCCCTCACAGTGCCACTGATAGAGTCCAGGGCGCTGTGATCCCTTCAGGCTGCCCAGCAGGATGCCTCTTCTGCACCCATAAAGCTGCCAGCCTTGTTAGGAGGGACCCAGCTCTACCGCACAGATGGCCATCGTGGAGAATCTACCAGGCCATGTGTGACGACTATCCAGTTTTCAGAAGCAGCGATGGTAGTGTGAGGTGCTCTTTGCTCCCCAATGGCAGCCTCCCCGGCCAGTTCTGTTTCTGGGTGTGCAGCCCCCCAGCACTGGCTCTGACACACCTACCCTTACCTACTACTCCAGCAAACCCTTTCTGCTTCAGTTAGCCATAACTTTGGGTGCTTATAATCAATGACTTTGACTCATATATGAATACTTTGTGTTGAATATTTAGGCTGTCCCTAATTCTTCATTGTAATAAGTAACTGAAATAAATATCCTTACATATGCATTTCTGGTTATTTCTAATTTCTAAAATTCAAGGTTAGCTGCATTTTCTTTTCTTTTTCTTTTTTTGGTTTTTCGAGACAGGGTTTCTCTGTGTAGTTTTGTGCATTTTCTATTGAAAATGATTCTATTGTTATGGCTAAGTTTATTTCCTCCATAATGGATATTTTTTTAAAAACAGATTTCCAGGTCAAATTATTTAATACTTATTTAACTTACTACTTCTTGCTCCAAACACACACACACACACACACACACACACACACACACACACACACCCTGAGAAGAACTACTCTGTACTGCTCCAGTAATTATTGTCCAGATTGTCTAAGTAGGAAATAGAAGAAGATGGATGTGAAGCCTGATGCTTCACAATTTGGAGACTGGGAAAAGATTACAGGGCATTTTCTGAATTGTTCAGTCAAAGCACAGGACTACACCCAAAAGAGCCCCAAGAAGGGCCAGATGTACTGTACACACTTCAAATCCTGGCACTTAAGAGGTTGAGGGAGCGACTGTGAGCATGAGGCCTGGCTGACTAGCTACACAGCAGAAAATAAAAGAAACAAAATAGTGGGGCATCTACAAATCGCATCTAAGTCCAGAAATAAAATGTGGCTGGGCAGTACACTGTCACATGGACAAGGTGTCAGAGGACACACTGCATCCAGACTCACAGGACACTTCACCAGACTTCCGGAACCATGACACACATATCCCTTTGACTTTCTAAATGTTCTGAACAACAGCGAAGGCTCACTGGGGTCAGCCATTAGTCCCTCAGTGAAAATCCTGCAAAACCTGTAAAGATCATTGTCCAGGGAGAATAGAGAGTGGAGTTCAGATAATTTCACAAGTTCTCCCAGAGCACAGTTCTGTTTAAACTTAAAAGCTTTGCTATGCCTTCAAACTAATGGCTTTCCGCTCTCTGAACGGTGGCACAGCGGCCGGGCTGCAACCCGAGAGTACTCACCTCCAGGGTCACGGCTCTCAGCAGCTCGGGCTTAGCATTGCACAATGCTCCCACCAGCACCCCTCCAGCGCTGAAAGCACTCAGAGTGGTTAGACTTGGCTGAGAAAAGCCTTGGCTATGAAGCGTCTTAATGCAAGCCTCTAAGTCAGCAAGGCCATTGAGTTTCTTAGTTAGACGGCCATCAGCATGCCACTGGAGGCCCAACTCGCCACCACCCCTGTAGTGGAAGTTAAAAAAAAAAAAGCATACAGTAGAGGTCAGCAAACTACATCACAGGCTTGTGTGTAGCACTAGAGCTCAGAATTGTTGTGCGTTTAAAGGCTGGGAGAAAACAACAAGAGGAAATATACAACAGAGACTGTCTAAGCCAAGCCTAAACCAGTAAGGTGTAGCCCATCACAGGAAACAAAACAAAAAGCTGTCAAGATAATCAAAAGCTGATTTAACAGCTATGCCTGAGTTCCTCTTGACCTCTTACTACAGACTGTCCGAGGGCAGACCTTAAACATACACACAGGCAGAACTGCCCGTGGAGTGGCTCAGAGTGGCCTGAGAAAGCAAATCACAGTCACCAGGCATGATGGCCACCGCTGTAACATACGTGTTTAAGCTTTACCTGAGCGGAGGAATGGGGTGAGGGCGGATGGGTCAGGAGCGTAAATGCATTGGAAATGACACTGAACTGAGCTGTAAAGGAAGCGGGTTTCTGGAAGGGTAAGGAAGGGGGAACTAAGACCAGGACACGGAGGGGCAGAGCATGTAATCTGAGGGCACCCGGCCAGTGGATACCCTACAGAGAGAAGCCAGATCATGAGAATTTTACTGAGAAATCTGGACTTCATTCTGGAGATAGGGAGAGAGAGAGAAGATTTTAAGTAGAAATAAAAATATAATGCTGTTCTGAAAACAGCTACAATAAAATGGGAATTAGATGGAAAAAAAGTTCAGTTTAGAGAGGCTCTGTGAGAAAAGCCTACATTAGATGCATTGAATCACAGCACTTGAAAGGTCATGAGTTTGCAGCTACAAAGACAGACCCCGTTCTCAAAAACTTGAAAGAAAGAAACCTGAATTCAGGAGACTGCATGGAAATAAGAATGTAACTGATCAAGTACAGACACTGCTGTATCTACTCAGAGGTCCTAAAAACTATTCTTTTGTTCTTGGGCCAAACTAACCTGTTATCTGAATTAAGATCTACCAGGCTTAGGGATACATAAACCCCAAATCCACAAATGGAAAGTGAGCTTTTGACCCTGAATCTATTGGTTTTTTAAGAGAGGGTTTCACTATACAGCCCTCAACAGAGGTCCTCCGCCTGTCTCTGCATCCTGAGTGCTGGGATTCCCTAACATATCATTACTATAGCTGTCATCACAGTGTTCTAGCACCATCTGCCAGGAGAAACGTGCTGACTCACCTAACATGGCAGTACGCTAGGATCCATCCATCGTCCACCAAGACCCGCCTCTCAGGCCTGAAGTTCATTTTCAAATCCATCCCATAAGCTCCATATACATGGACCAAGAGAGGCTTCTTCTGCAAGTCCTCAGAATCCATTTTGTGAAAGATTGTCATTGGCACTAATTTTCCATCCTGGAGAGGAAGAATCAGTAGCACGTAAGGAAACATCTTTGCGGTTTGTTTCTTTGCCGTGGTGGGGATCGGGATATCTGCTGGGCAAAGGCTCTACCACGGAGCCAACCCCCCACGAAAGGAGAGTTTTAAAATGCTTAACCCCAGCTTCAAGTATCATGAAGGGCATTCCCCAGTACGCTACTTTCTGAACAGGACATCAGCTTTGTGAGGCTATGACATCTGTACACATAGCTCTGGATTTCAGCTACCCGCTGGTCTATAACGAGCCGGAAAAGAGCAGCAGGCCTGGCTTGAACACTGGCAGTTTCTCCCAGTAGGAAAATAACTCGAAAAGCACTCTTCATTGCCCAGTATTAGTTCTTGCAGGTCAAGCCAAAATGCCTATTTAGGTTGGAAATTTTGGTATAACATACTCTCTGTGCCTAAGGCTAGATATTGACAGTTCTTGTCTTTGAATAGTTACAAATAAGCTGGTTACGAAGTCCTACCGGCTTTATTTTCTGACCCCAGAAAATGTCACAGCACTCAACATTAGTACATGAACTCTCGCTCAGACCACACTGATGGCTCTCTGCATCCTTCAAAGGCCTATCTAACTATGAATCTAATTAAAATTGTTTATTTATTTTATACGTATGGGTGTTCTGTCTGCGTGTATGCTTGCATTACATGCGTGCAGTGCCCTTGGGGACCGGCAGGTGTCATAGTCCCTGGGGCTGGAGTGCAGGTGACTGTGAGCCAACATGTGGGTACTAGGAAGAGAAGATGGTTTTCTCGCTGAAGTAAACCCTGTCTTCTCTAACTTGTTTATGGTTGCGATGTTTTATCACAGCAGTAGAAGCCCTAACTAAGACAGATGTGCTCCCTGAAACAGCCCTGCTTCAGAAAAGACTGCCTGGATCTCGCCAGACTAGGTAAGGTCCCTTCACAACATTTCCGATGCACTCAACATGCTCCCTGTTGTGGCTGTCGGTGCATCATCAGCAACGATTTCTTCAGCCCCTGGCACTGTCTCCGCCACAGTGAAGCGCCATGGAGGCTCGGACTGTATTCGTCTGGTCTACTCCACTCAGCTACGTACCGCACTCTCAAAATTATTACCATCACTGTGTGCCAACTTTGACTCTTGACTCTTTTTATTAATTCAACTTTGCAACTCAAACATAAGCACGTGAAAGGAAGCCTAGCATGCAAGTCAGAGATAATTTAAGTCCACGTTAAAGTAAAAACGTGTATTAAAATTAAGAGGAAAAAAAATCTATGTATCCTAAAATCATCTGGATCTTTTATAGTATAAAGGATTTTCCAACAATAGTGCTGATGTGGCCCCGACTCTGAAGTCCCTGGCACGGTGCACTTGCAGTATCAGGGAGCAGAAAGCTGAGATCACAACACCTACCTTGCTTTTGGCTTCTATGCGTAGAACACGACTGGTCTTTGTAATCGGGTCTTCGTGTCCCGTTTCCTCGAACAGTTTGCCTTCTGCAAATTTATATGTGTAATATTTCGGAGGTCTTATTGGGGAGCAGAGCTGAAAGGGGCAGTTCTTTGGGTCAGAATTGGTGTCCATTATGAATCCACAGGCCCAAGGAGGGAGCTGAAGAACAAGCAATATTTTCACTAATTAATATTGAAGTTTCTGAGTCTGCTCCAAACAACACCACGTGGATATCTACTTTCTGTTATCACACGATACATCATTTGAGAATTACTTCATTGTGACAAAATAGATTTCAAGTGAACAAATCAAACCCTATATAAATTACCAATAAAGAAAAAATGCAAAAAAAAAAAAAAAAAAAAAGAAATGCAGGAAATGGGTTTATCATGACTCTAGATTTAAATGAAATTGCTCATATTTATTTGGGAATACAAACCTGGATGATAAAATAACCAAATGGCTAAGAATAAGAGCAAGTGAAATAACAGTCCTACCCCAGCAACAGCCCTCCGGTCCTGCTCTTACAGAGCCCCTCGAGTGAATGTTTTCAATGATTTTCCCACCAGTCCTTACCCCGCTGCCTGGACAGCCAGTGATGAGAGTTATTATTCCAGGGCTACAAACGGGCTCAGCAGCACTAAAGCATTTACAATTTGTTTCTAACTTTAGCTTCGAGGCGAACCATTGTGCAGAACAAAACCTTTCCAGGCACAATGACTCAGAGAGACTCGTAGCTATTATGCTCAAGATCCTTAACTTTAAGAAGAAAGGAAAGGAATCAAAATTCCTTTTCTTAGAGCAGCAGGGTCCAGCCTCAAGCCTTCCACTAACATCCCACTTACACCTTTTAAACAAGCCTGGTAAGGAGGTGGACAGAGTGCCCGGAAGGTACTGAGAGTAAGAATGTGAATGGAAAAGTGCCTTTCTTTTTCTGAGTAATTGTAGAAAGCAAATGCCTTCGAAAATCAGAGGTCTCGGCGCAACCTCACTGGCGGGCACTTCTGAAAAAGGGAAGAAGGGCTGTGAGCATCGAGATACAGACTCTCATTGCAGAAACCACAGCCAGAGAGCACCGTGGACAGGCACATTCCCCCAGGGAACCCAGGGTCTATTTCCAGGGAAACTAACAAGGACACACATTTGTGAAGGATCTCTACTTGTAAGAGCAAGCCTCATAATTGTCAGTGTAAGTATGAGATCCCTTGGCCCACAGGGGCACAAGGTTTTGTCCACCTTTCGGTAAAACTTAACTATGACCATGGAATACGTTGTTTTAGCTTTAGGACAACTGGTACCAACAGATCAAAGTTTGGGCTTTTCTAAAACTAAGAGACTAAGGTTAAAGCTTTAATCATAACAAGAACTGTTGCTAGGCTATGGACTCTGAAATCTGTCCAGGTAGTACAGAAGTATTAGCTGTCTCAAGGGCATCTTAAGCCATGGTTCCCACTGAGCTGTGTGATGGACTGAAAGAAATTTGGCCCAGAAATAGACTCTCCCACAAATAAAGCTGATGACAGCATCCAGCAAAACATTGCTTGGGCTTGGGGGTGGGGGTGATGTATGGCTTAGTGGCTGAGTTTGTCCAGTATGTTCAAGGCCCTGGCTCTGCCCTGTAGTATTACAATATAGCATTCTCAATTTACCTTCCAGGTATTACAATCAAATATTTTTCTTTTTTTTTTTTTGAAATAAAAAAATCAGAAAATACTGATGACATGATGACCAATGATAAGAAATAATACATGAAAACTTTAACATTTCCACCGTTGGAGATTGTGTTTAGAAAGATCTTTTGGTCAAGTGTCCACTAGGCATTGATGTTTTACATGGAAACATGTTATTAACTACTCACACTGGGGCTAAAGATTTTGTCCTTTATCTAAAGCATGGTCTACGGGTCTTTATCAGTGTTATCCAGCATCATGCAATGATAAAATTACGTTTAAGTAGTACATGGCACGTCCTCTCTTTGATGAGGACCTAGAAGAAGATTCGGGGCATAGCAGGTACCTATAGTTTGAAACAGGCCAGAGGGTGATGAGATAATCAATACAGCAGAAACCAAAGTCAGCATCTGTTGTGAAATGGCGTGTGTGTGTGTGTGTGTGTGTGTACCGTTAAATGAGAATACTTATTAAAAATAAGAAAAGGTCATATTTACTTCCAAGTCTGACTTAGTCTTTGGGGTTGGGATAACAGCTCAACTGGAAGAGTGATTGCTTAGCAGCTCAAAGCCTTCGGCTCAAAGCCTGGCACCACACAAAACCCGGTGTGGTGGGCCATGCCTGTAACCCCAGCACTGTTGGTTAAAAGGGTCAGCCAAGAAACCTACCCTGGCCCTGAAGCCAGAGCCAGTGAAAGAAACACACCCTGGCCCTGAGACCAGAGCCAGTGAAAGAAACACACCCTGGCCCTGAAGCCAGAGCCAGTGAAAGAAACACACCCTGGCCCTGAAACCAGAGCCAGTGAAAGAAACACTTTAGCCCTGAAACCAGAACCTAAGAAACACACCCTGGCCCTGAAACCAGAACCTAAGAAACACACCCTGGCCCTGAAACCAGAGCCAGTGAAAGAAACACACCCTGGCCCTGAGACCAGAGCCAGTGAAACACACCCTGGCCCTGAAACCAGAGCCAGTGAAACACATCCTGGCCCTGAAACCAGAACCTAAGAAACATACCCTGGCCCTGAAACCAGAGCCAGTGAAAGAAACACTTTAGCCCTGAAACCAGAACCTAAGAAACACACCCTGGCCCTGAAACCAGAGCCAAAGAAACACACTTTGGCCCTAGAATCAGAGCCAGGGAAAGAAATACACCCTGGCCCTGAAACTACAGCCAAAAGGCTAAAAAGGGCCAGTGAAAGATACACAGTTTGGCCCTGAAACCAGAGTCAAATCTGCCCCTGACCAACTAAACCAACCAATCCCTGAGCAGGAAAACTAATCAATCCCTGATCAGAAAACACTCTCCCTGGAGAAACTCCGCCCCTAAGAAACCCTATACAAGCCTCTCTGCCTGTTCAGTTGTGGCTCTCCTTTTCCACCCTGGTGGAGGCAGCCACTCTCCTGGACTCCTCCTTTCCAAATAAACCTCTTCCTTAAAAGAGTTTTGGGTGAAGATCTTCTTTTGCCTGCACTAAGCAGAAGAACCTTGCTGAGATGTTCCCTTGGGGGGGGGGGGGGTGCTGAGCAGAAAAAAGTAGTAACTTGTGGCCAGAGCCAGAGGAGACTGCTACATTTCTGCAGGGGCTTCCCCTTAGCAGAGTCAAAAAGAAGTAACACCGTGGGGGGGAGCGGAAGAAGAAACAATAGATTTGTAGAGCTCAGATATAAGGGCTCTAGATAATAGCTCTCTCTAGGAGAGGAGCAGGATTCCTACACCCGGCAGGGAGACCATCCCTTGCCACATCTCAGCCTCAGGTATAGCCTGACTTCCTGACAAGTCAGGATACTGTTCCCTCCAGAGCTGTAACACTCGCAAGGAGGGGGAGGCAGGAGGAACAGAGGTTCAAGGTCAGCCTGGGCTATACCAGCCCTTCAAGTCTAATCTTAGAGCAGAAAATCTCTACACGGCATTCCCAATTTTCTTGATATATATAATTGTAATACACACACTGCTAGAAATAACATATTTTTCCCATCCCTATTTCTATAGACCACAATGAGGATATACTGACAGATTTCCAATCAGAGCAGATGGAGACTGGTAAGTTTTAGGCCTCCTGAAGGCCTCTCCACCGCGTTGCATCAGACCAAATCAGGAAAAGCCCAGGTTTAAGGTGTAAAGCGCTCTGGGGAGATTCCCCTGCTGCCCCGCGCCCCCTAGCCCCCCAGAGGAGAAGGGGAGGAGACCAGAAAAACCACGAATCTGTTTTCTAGGATGCAGCTTATATAACCCCTGTGGGCGTGGTCTTGAGCCTCTCTGGGGGAGGAGCTGTGTTTGGCGGGCTCTGAAGGGGCGGGTTTGGGGAGGAGCTGTGTGAGGTGGAGCTCCCACTCAAACAGAGACTGTAAGCAAAGTCCTGAAGCGATGACCATTTTTATTTCAGGACACCTACACAGACATCTAAGAGACTCAATGTTAAACTTAGCATTCTGATTTTGAGGGAGCCGCTCCACGATTCTAATGGTTACAGGCTCCCATTATTTATTTGTATCCGTGTAACAATCCTGAGATTCATCTCCCTGGGTCCTGTTTGCTCCAATCTTTACTAATACAGTTGCCTAATAATCTCATGAAGTATAACTCCAGCACCTCAAACTAAACACTAACTGTTCCCTTCATTATAATTTATACACACCGGTCACATTTAAAAAGCATCACGTCCTAACTTCTTCCTCCAGAAATGTAATCTGCTTTAACAAAACAGATTTAAGAATCGGTTCCCTGAAGATACATGGACTTCAGCTTAGAGCTGTGTTTGCATGGCTTTCTCATTCTTGGATATGACATATTAAATTTCTATTTAATACTGCACATTAAATTCCTATTTATCCATTCTAGTTTCTCTATCCTACAAAAGCTTTTCTGAGCCATAAACTCTTCCGGTCCTGTAAGTTCTACATTTTATTTTTGAAATCTCTTATTAAAAACTAACTTATACTTATGCTTTGTATTTTGATGTTTGTCTAACACCATAAAACACTTAATTCATTAAGGCCAGATGTTTTATTCTACTGTTTTACTATTCCATGATGCTGTATATGACATTTTGCACACAGGAGTTCAATAAACAGCCATGGAGTTTGCAGGACAGTATTTTAATAGGAATTCTGACGATACCGGAGCATTATTTAAAAAGGCTTAAGCTGCTTGCTGGCTGATCCACTCAATAATTCTCTCCCTATCAGGCAGAGTCTGGCACCTTCTTCTCTTCAGGGCTTATAACCTTAATTCACTTAATGCTGCTTTCACAATGGATAATAAGGCTGCCATTCATTCATTCATTCATTCATTAGGTTCATTTCTGGAGGCATTTGTTCATGCCTTGGCAGCCACAGACAGTGTTAACTAGTTAGACATGCCATTGTCATGGAGACCACTGACACCCATGTACTGAAAGGAAGCAAGTATGTACCTCACGGATAAAAAACTAGCCAAGAGAGGCGATGCAGATACAAGCATGTGCTGGAAATACAGAGATATGATACTGCCCTTCTGGGGTTTGGCCTGGGCAAGCAGCCGTCAGTGGCTGGGTACTAGCTACCAAGTAGGTCTTGGTTATTGCCGCTCCACAGACTATAAGATCCCTGACCACAGAGCTATGTAAAAAGAAAAACACAATGACCCTTGACTCTATTTCTGAAGTCCATTGGTTTAAGTAAGACTGCATTAAAAACAAGGTCTCTCAAAGCATATAATATAAATACAATATAAATTATATTTATATTATATAAATCTAGACCTGATAAACAGTCAGAGTGCTAAAATCCATTTAAATTAAATTTCTTTTAGGAGAAGTACATGGCATTCCAATTTCGATGCTCTGTTAAGCTGAGCTGTGTTTCTGTTGCGGGTGGACGTACCTTTAGAGAGCGAACAGAGTCATCCGCCAGCCCGATGACATTAACATAGAGGAGGTTGCTGTGCTTGAGGAACAGGACACAGTGATCCTTAAACATGTCCATGTCTATGACCTTGGTATTTCTCTTCATTGTGAAGAACAGATCCCAGTTCATGATAGCAGGGGCGTCGGCTGCGGTCCGCATCAGCTGTACGAACAAGGTTAGAAGAGATCTAGGTGACAAGACACTAACTAAGGCTGCAGCCTTCAGGGATGAAATCACTGAAAAGGGACCACACTAGCTGTCACTAGGAAGTCTGGATCGGGGACAGAGTGTGAATGTCACCACTTTAGGCCAGGTTAGCACCTGGTGAGACAATCAACCAGTGGACAATGGATGCATTGGTATGCCTGCCTAGACTGATCCAACTGCCAACTCACCATCAGGACTTCAACTGTGCTCGGTTAGGCCAACCAAGTTTGGTTTTTACAACACAAACAGCACAGAATGTTTCATTTACATGCTTTAAATACAAGCATAGTAGGTAGACATGTTAGCTCTAAGGGAAGAGAAATAATGGAAGGGAAATGGGATTGACAAGGTACAGGAAGGCAGTGTCAATCACATGCTTAAACTCCTCCCCCATTCTCCCTTGTAGCAAGGAAGGTTGGCGATCCCAAATGGGAACGAGCAGAATGGAGAACTACCTTGAATTCTGTAGGTTCTCCAACATTAGTGAGGATGTATAATTCATCATCTCGATGTTCAACATAGTAAAGGACCCCATGGATCCTCTTCTGAATCAGTACTGGTGGGTCCCAAGGGCTCAGGCCGTCTATCAACCACACCTCGGAAGTCGTCTTGTTCATAATGTTGAGGGTGAGGAAACGGCTGTCTTTTGTAAGGTAGAGGAAAACAAAATAGCTAGAAAGGAAAGAAACAGGGTTTCGTTAAGTCACTACTGCCCTGGCTGCAGACGTGGGGTTTGGGCAGGAAAGTCCACTTTCCCCTTCTGGAATATTATCAGCTATGTGAGAGGTGAGCCTCAGATGACCCAACTATTTTATCTCCATACATATATTTGCATAAAGGGTACGTTTAGAAGTAGGAACGAGCCGGGTGGTGGTGGCGCACGCCTTTAATCCCAGCACTAGGGAGGCAGAGGCAGGCGGATCTCTGTGAGTTCGAGGCCAGCCTGGGCTACCAAGTGAGTTCCAGGAAAGGCGCAAAGCTACACAGAGAAACCCTGTCCCGAAAAACAAAACAAAACAAAACAAAACAAAACAAAAAAAAAAGAAGTAGGGAACGAGAGGCCGGGCGGGGATGACGCATGCCTTTAATCCCAGCACTCACGAGGCAGAGGCAGGCGGATCTCTGTGAGTTCGAGGCCAGCCTGTGCTACAGAGTGAGTTCCAGGAAAGGTGTAAAGCTACACAGAGAAACCCTGTCTCGAAAAACAAAAACAACAACAACAACAAAAAAGTAGGAACAAGATCTGAGCTATAAACCCTGGGAAACATTTGGAATCAATGGTGTCATCTGGAATGGCTGTCACTGTCCAATCCTTAAGCATCTCAGGTGGAATGTTACAATATACTAAAAACTGAACAAGAAATGTTTTTGGAGGGCTAGATGGATGACTCAGCCGTTAAGAACACTGGCCGCTCTTCCAGAGGACCTGGGTTCAATTCCCAGCAACCACATGGCAGCTCACAACTGGCTCTTAACTCCAATGTCCTCTCTTTGCCTCCGTGGTTACTGGGCATGCTTGTGCTACACAGACACACATGCGGGCAAAATACCCATACGACAAAATAAAATAAAATTTAACAAAGAAAGAAATGGTTTATACAAGGTCGATTTTACAAGCGTCTGTGAAGCAATACTAGAACTCTTCACAGGCTAAGCCTTGCAAGTGGAACAGGGGTTACTTCTAGCTAATTCTTTTTCTTTCTTCTTTTTTGTTTTCTTTTGGGCTTTTGAGACAAGGAAGGTCTCACTATTTTCTCTGGCTATCCTGGAACTTGCTCTGTAGACTAACCTGGCCTCAAACTCACAGAGATCCTCTTGCCTCTGCCTCCCAAGTGCTGGGATTAAAGGCCTGCACCACCATACCAGACTCTAATTCTCTTATTAGAAGAGTTAGGTTCCAACATAAAAGAGAAGCCATGGGTGAAGAGCTAAAGAACTGTCTATTTTGCTGTTTACTTCCCATACATCTTTAACTGTCTGTGTAAAACACATGGATTTGTTTTTGTTTTGTTTTGTTTTTCGAGACAGGGTTTCTCTGTGTAGCTTTGCGCCTTTCCTGGAACTCACTTGGTAGCCCAGGCTGGCCTTGAACTCACAGAGATCCGCCTGGCTCTGCCTCCCGAGTGCTGGGATTAAAGGCGTGCGCCACCACCGCCCGGCAACACATGGATTTGTAAAACATTACAGATGTACAACTAAAATTACTAAACTGTCAAGTGCCTGGTATGAGCAACCTACCAATATGACATATACAATACAGTCAAGGTTACTCTGAGTCTGTTGCACGGGATCCTTGGGTTTGCATCTTCCCTGCTTTTTAAAAGTTCAGTTCTGTTGTTGGTGAATAGTATTTCTGCCAGGTTAAAAAAAAAAATGTGTGTGATGGTGTGTGTGTGTGTGTGTGGGGGGCGCGTTAGGGAGGGATGGATGCTGACTATTCAATGACTTAAAAATCAGATTTTCTTTATTTAGCATAGGTCTTTCTCTTCAGAATCCACATTATGCAGTTTTCATCAGAATATATGGATTCTATGCTCTAGAAATAGAAATATTTGAAAACAAGGAGTGAATATTTAAAATGCATTGATCTTTAAGAATATATTAGCAGGCACTTCCTTGAACATGAGTTTAGGAGACATCCTCCCATCAAAACGACCAATTGTTTTTAAATAACCAACAACTGAAGTACTGTGAACAAAACTGATGGAAACCTTGGCTGACGGGAGCTCTCCAGGGCCATACTGATAACTTTTTCAGAATCAGGTATCCCAAAATGATAGAATTTGGCAAACTCTATAGATTAGTTCTAGAAGGTAGAGTAATAAAATACTAATTTTCTCCAGTTCTCGACACTTCAAGACAACCAGGTCAGTACTTTAGATAATGGGGGAGCCATTCTGGAGAAAAGAGAGTAACTGCAGTATTCCAGTACCTCGGGTCCTTTTCTGTGTAGAAACGCTCATTGCGTCTGTTTTCCCCGAATGTGGCTCGATACACGTCATGGCAGCGAAGGTTCCTTTGGAAGGTGTAGAACAAGACATCTTCATCTTCTTCATCCTTCACCCATTCTGAAAGGAATGGACGAAAGGAATTAGACACAGCTACCTGCATACTGCTTTTGAAAGGGTGTAGTACCCAAACGTTGAATGCCAAGTGGAGAAATGTGGAAGTCTGTCCCTGGAAATCTGCGTATAGCATAAACCTGTGTTTACACATAAGCAGAGAACATAAAACACCACTACTGTTCCAAGGTTTCCATTTCTTAGTGTACTCAAGCACCTAAAGAAGGACTCATATTCAGTGTTAAAGAAAGATATTGATAAAGTCGCATTTGCTTTTGGGAGATGGCTGCTTAACTGAAGAATCACTAATCCCTTTCTCTCCCACTGTGTTCAGTGTCTGCTTCCAGGGAATAGGGCAGCTGAAGCTACCAAACACATTTTAACAGGGGCTTTCCTTTCCCAGAACCTGTCAATGGAGATTTGCACACAATCACATCCTGACTGCCACCTGGCTGACAGTCATTGGGAAGTCATGACTATAGGATATGAACTCTGATCTTAGGGGTTGGATGCACAAATATATTTCTTATATATTTCTTATTTCATTATGGAGGGCCTGGGGAGAAACAGGGGTATCTGAGTCTGAACCTCTAGCACTCACATAAAAAGCTGTGCATGCATGCTTGTAACCCCAGGAATTGGGGGGCTGAGAGATGGAGCACAAGGGCTTGCTGGCTGGTCAGTCAGCCTAGCTAAAATGGGGAGCTTCTGGCTCAGTGACAGATCCTGTCTCAAAGCACTAAGGCAGGGGATATGGAGGAAGACACCAATGTCCTATCTGGCTGTCGCAGGAACAAGCATGGGCACCTACAGCTGGCTGCACACTCACATGCATGCAACACAGATGTAGACACAGACATACAGACACACAGACATGAAGAAGAGAGAGAGGGAGGGAGAGAGACAGAGACAGAGACAGAGAGACAGAGAGGATGGCTCACACACACGAAAGAATGCATTAGGTGGAATTTTTCAATTCAATGCCAAAGCATCTAATAAACCATTCAGAAAACCATGGCAATGTAAAGGGAAGACAAAGTGTGAACATGTTCAAGATGGTGAATGATAACATTCAAAGCTAGATCTACTACTAAAACTGTCGGTTTCCACTGACGTCAGCTCAACATGTTCCAGTTTCTAGGAGCGACTCTGAGAAACGCGCTATAATAGATCTCCATGATAACATGTAATAAAAAATCAGCCAAGTTTAAAGTGGTATAAAATATCAAGAAGCAACAACTGTAACATCTTAGTCTTCATCATAAACTGGTCAAGAATTACTACATATCCATATGGGACTTAGATGAGAAGTGTCTTAAAAAAGATAAGCACTACTTTATTTAAAGTGTGTGTTATTTATCAGCGACTGTATGAAGTGTGTGTGAATACAAGCATGTGTGGGTTGGGATGCAGATGTGAAGGCCAGAGGACAACTTTTGGGAACTGGCTGTCTCCTTTCACCATGAGTCCTGGGGATGAACATAGGCCAGGCTGTGTGGCCAGTGCTCTTACCCACAAAGCCTCTCGTCAGTTTATGAATTATTACTTTTAAATTTTCGTTTATGTATATGTGTGTGTCCGTTGAATCTTCTAAGAGTTAGCATTACAGGTGGTTGTGGGTTGCCCAACATGGGCACTGAAAACTGACCCTGGGTCCCCTACAAGAGTAATATACATGCTCCTAGCCACTGAGTCATCTCTCCCGTCCCCATGAGCACAATTTAAAAGTGACCCATTCAGATAGATAACTGAAGAAGGGAGTATTTCATAATACAAAATCCATAGGAATACGTGGAGTCCAGAGATAAATGGACCAGGCCCTGATCATTACCATCTCCTTCCCTACTGCAGGTGGGCCAAAGAGTTTCAGAAGTGCAAGGTGCTTGCTATGGCTGCCTTTTCAAGGGACTCGACTTGGCGGCTTACCAAAACTGGATACGTTCTGGAAAGAAGCTTCCATGGCAGGCTGATCACTGAGCTTCACAACTATGCAGGTGGATGTTTCAGAATCCTCGGTCCTTATCTTGGCAGCCACGTACTTCTCATCGGGAGCAACTCTGATAGAGTCAATGAAGGGCTGGTCCAACTTAAGTTCCTCCAGATTGAATAAAACTTCATAATTATCGCTGTCTGCTGTGTAAAGGAAGGTAGGAAAAGAGAACTCCACAACATATACTTGTAAAGAATTTAAAATTGTATCTTAATGTTTTACATTAATATTCCGAGGCCAAATACTGATGTCCTTCTACAGTCATTATTTAAAAATAGTTTACTCGATATTATTTTATTATAACCTATGAGCTACTGTGATAGTCTAGTCCAGTGGTTCTTAACCTTCCTAATGATGTGACCCTTTAATACAGTCACTCATGTTGTGGTGACCCCCAACCATAACATTATTTCATTGCTGCGTCATAACTGTAATTTTGCTATGTTATGAATCATAATATAAATATTTTTGGAGACAGAAGTTTGCCAAAGGGGTCGTGACCCACAGGCTGAGAACTGCTGGTCTAGTATTTACAGACTACAGCACTTACAAAGAGTATAAAAGACACACATAGTGTACGCGAGGTGCCTGCCTAGCACAGCACTGAGACACAGAACATACACAAAACATGCTCGATTCTGTCTTCACTCTCCCTGTTAATGCTTCAGAGCGTGGTTCTTAACACTATCTTAAGTCAACCCAGACATTAAGAACCAATCATTGAAAAAATTTAGAAATAATCTTTAAGAAATCTATTCTAATAGCTTTGAGCAACTACTATGAAGTTTCCTGCTAAAAATGTGAAACCTGAAAAGCCAGGTCATCATTAAAGGAGAATTGTGGTTTGCCCCAAATTACCTTCTTCGTCTTTGGAGCGAACCAGGCAGCAACCTTCTTGATAATAAACAAAACCGCCATGCTTAATCTGACAATGAAAAGAAATGTGACTTACTAATAATAACTTAATTATTTAATGGATGGCTACTTCAGATGAAGGGATGAGACCTATTATGATATATCATAAGAGGCAGATCTACTGAACTACATGAATGAATATGAAATGGACCATATTTACAACAAATAGCAAGAAACAGCTTCCCTACGTTCAGAATCGCTGGCGATTTCCAATATACAAATGCAAGGGCAAAGCAAAATCTATGCTCATTCACCTTAAGCCTGTACAGTGAGATGCCATTAACGATGTCAAGTGGCATCTTTAAGATAATCCAAAATGATAAAGATCAGTAAACTGTGGCTGGCTTGATATGCCAATCAACATTCCAGTATCCTTTCTTTTGAAATCACGGCCATCAACTGTGCAGTACTGATTTGATTTTACACAGAGTACACTGTGCTGTGACAAAGTGTACACACCGTGAATGCCAGTGGATTGACTTATTTGGTTTCAGGTGGCTTAAGACACCTTATATGAGTGGCATATTTGGAATCTGGAATTGTTACTGCTCTTTGTATTTGACTATGCATGTGATTTTCACTTCTAATCTCTGTTTTCCAGTCTTACTAAAGATCTTCGATCTCTGTTCAATTTATTTCAACTCAGTACTTATGACTGAAAATTATAAAGTGATTAACTGTATACTTCGCTTTATTAAAGCGAATTTCCTTTTATAAAAATGTAGACACAACATGTAAATACTTTTGAAATAATAGAGAAATGTATAGTTTTATATGTATCTCTTCTTGGAATCTCTACAAATTTACATTAGAGCTGTTGTTCTCCAACATCTACCCAGAATTCATCTATTACACTTCATGCTTTATCTTAAGTTTTAATTTTAAGGGCATTTTGTCTATTGTTTACAGTTGAAAATGCTCAGCACGCTGGAAAGGCTAAATGCAACAAGACTGTGATGTGACGTTAAGTCTATGAACTGTAAGGTAGCTTGTTTGCCTCTGAACCGACAACGCATCCGGTTCTCACAAGAGATGCAGCGCGGCTTACCTCGGCATTGATGATTTCGTATTCTTCTTGTGGCTGGGTTTCCAGTTTTGTTCTCACTTTTTCAAATGCATCCATGTTTTCAGAAAGGGATTTTTCGTTTTCTGGCTTAATAGGCAGAAGATCCTAGGAACATTTTTGGTGGTATGATCAAAAATTTTCAAACTCAGGGGGAAAGTCTTTGCTTCTTATAATTGTACTTTTCACACAGGTATTACATGAAATGTGCTCTTACAAATTTTGTTCCTTCTTAAGTGCATCAAAAAAGAACAAGACACTTGATGCATTATAACAAGTGTATGAGTCCTTAAGATACTTCTAAAAGCACTAAGAGGCCCTGACAACATCAGAAACATTACATACAGCTAAGGAGGAGAGAAAATGCTTTGAACTTTTACATATTTAATCAAGATGAGAGGTGGGGGGAAACCCTGTTGAGTTTCATAAGTACTGAAACACACCCTAAAAGGAGAAGATATCAGAGAGGAAGATACTTCTTAGCTAATAGGTGTTGGCTATCAATTTATTCATAGAACAGTTACAGAATTTATTCTACTTTATTACTACATTTTCTTATGTTGTTGGATAGTAACTACAAATATTAATAGAACTGTTTATCAGATCAGAAAGTTAAATAACAGCTTATAAGACAAGGCCTCCTTTTTTTTTGTTTTGTTTTGTTTTTTGAGACAGGGTTTTTCTGTGTAGCCCTGGCTGTCCTAGAACTTTCGTGTAGACCAAGCTGGCCTTGAACTCAGAGATCCGCCTGTCTCTGCCTCCAAGTGCTGGGATCAAAGGCGTGTGCCACCACCGCCCAGCTCCTCCCTTCCTGTTTAAGACACAGTTGATTATAGAAAAGAAAGGAAAAGCAAGGGGACGTAGGGACATTTAGTAGAGATGGAGAAGAAACCATAGAATTGCCCACTGTGCCTTGTTAGGGCAGTGAGGTGGGCATTCGGGGGCCTCCTGGTGAGCAGGGAAGGATTAGATGGATCAACACTTGGAAAAGGCTAAAACTGCCCAATTACAAAAACCTTCAAGAATTCAACACTCTACTGCTCTGCCTTGTTTAAACAAAAGAATTTCAGTCAAGATGCCGGATTCTTAGCTCTCTGCCAGGGATGCCAACTGAACAGAGATGGAGCCAGAGGCACTGAGCTGTGGGTGGGGACACCAGCAGCTGATAGATATTTACTGCCTGAGTACATTCATGGCAAGCTACCAATAATGTCGGGAACGTAAGCCACACATGAGTTTGTATCGTAAGTAGTTTACAACCTCAAAGTAAACACAGCAAAAACAGAAAAATTATCAAAACAGACTAAATGGACAACAATCATTTTCACAAAGTTGTTCTTTAAAAATTCGGGGGGGGGTGCTTTAATGGTTTGGATTAGATTTGAATTGTAATGTCAACTCTCAGGGTAACTTATAAAAATTATTGTGTATTTATTTATTTAGTGTTGGGGGCATGTGGAGGTCAGAGAGTAACTCGTGGGAGTCAGTTCTCTCCTTCACTGCATGGGACTGAGCTCAGGGCGCGTGTCTTGGCAGCAAGTGCCTTTACCCAATGAACCATCGCCTCGGCCTCTCAACTTCTACTCTCAATTCTGTATAGTTGATTTTTTTTTTTCTTTGTGGGTCTGTTTTCAGACAGAGTTTCCCTGTGTAACTCGAGGCTGGCCTTGAGCTTACAGAGATCCAGCTGCCTCTGCCTCCTGAGTGCTGGGATTAAAGGCGTGCACCATCAGTGCCTGGCGAAGAAACTTTCCTTTACAGATTAAAACTAGCTAATAAACGTGGAAAGTGTGACAGACTGATCATTTGAAGAGCTCTGGTGAAATGAACAGAGCTGGAACCATCAACAGAGTTAAACTCACTGGGCCAGAATAATGCACATCAGCCACACAGCACCAGTTACTGCTTACGGAAAGAATAATGTCCCTTTAGTGACGGAGACAACTGGCAGCTAATGTTTTAGCTAAAACAATCATTAACAGTGGGTCAAGCTGGCACTGTATCTCAATTAGAGAGGACCGAGAAACCCAAGAACAGAAGAAACTTAGTGTTTCAATAAAATTGCTTAACAAAGAAACCAAAGAGAGAAACAAGAAGATTAAAAAAAAAAAATCATTCCCCACCCCCAGAAACTCCCTAAAAAAGACAAATGTATGGTAAATGTCAAGGAAAAGACAAAGAATATTAGATATGAAAACCATGGTATAATTAGTTATACTAGATAGTAAAAACATTTTAAATATACTTTATTATTTGAGAACTTCCTACATTCACGTAACTGTCATCTTGATCATATTTATCCATCAGATCCACCTCCACTTCTCCAGTCCCTCCCAAGTTCATGTGCAACCCCCTGTTTGATACCCATTGACTCCACATCTCTGTGGCCCACGTACTCCTTAGTACGGGTGGCCATCCACTGGAACATGCTCCACCTAACACGGGCCACACCCTTAAAGAAAATGGGCTCTCCCTCCCTGCAAGCCATTAACTCTCATAGATCCTCAGTTGGGGAGAGGGCCTGGGAGTCCCTTGCCTCTCTACGTTATAATACTGACTGGCACTATAGTGACTGTGCGTTCATCAGTGCAGTGGTCCCCAAAATCGACTCGGGACATAAAACAGTTACATAAGGAAATAACCATACAGAAGGTAGTCAGTGTTTAAAAAATCGAAAGAAGATGCCAAGGCCAGATGCTTTCAAAGATACTTTTCTTGAACTAGATATGGTGGCATATGCCTATAATCTGAGCACACAGAAGGATGAAGCAGGAGGATTTTGAATTTGGGATAAGTCTAGGCTATACAGAGAAATCCTGTCTCAGCTATTCCCTCAGCCCCCCATAGTCACAGGGTAAAAAAAAATTCTCCTATTCAACTGTTTAAGAAAACAGGAAAACAGACAGAATGACTCAATTTACTTTATTAGGCTAATGTAATCGTGATACTAAGACGCAGTGACAACACATATTGGAGTCTCTTCCGACTGTCTACA